GCTTGCTGTAGGTGACCCTGCTTCGGCAGGAGGGTTGGACTAGATGACCCCCAGAGGTCCCTTCCAACCCCTACTATTCTGTGATTCTGTGATTCTGTGATTCAGGAATTTGTTGTCTGCACCCAGCGGATCATGAATTCTTCAGGAGTGCAGCGTTTTAATCATCACCTTGAGAGGAGGGAGGAGGTCTAAGAAAGATATTTTCAAGTGTAATAAGAAAGAATACCTAGATGTGGTCATTGATAATGAAGCCGTATGACCTTACCACAGACTCAGTGGACGTGAAAAACAGAAGTGAACAGATGCCATGACACGAACATTAATAACAGAAGTGAGCCAAAGACTTGAATCCATTGTGTAATCTGTGTGGAGACAGGGTCATGGGACTGTGGAAAGATCGACTTCCTATGGTGCCTCCACAACACGATGCCCTGTTGCCATCAGCTCAGCACTGGAAATAAATTGTGAAGTAATGCTGCAAAATGGGGAATTCATGCATGGGTTTGTAGCGAGCACATATTTTGAATTTCCAGAGACGGTAGACCACAGCCCACAATGGTTACTGGGATGCTTTCTAGTGCCTTAGGACCTGGGGACTTGTGGATTTAGTTTTTGGATGTTGAATCACTAATGTAACAGTTGAGCTAATCCCAATCTGCCGTATTTAAATTCACAGGAAAAACATATAATGCTGGCCACGTTAGATTAATTCGACCTCTTCTGAATTAATGAAATGGAAGTTTTTTCAGTAATGTTTGGACTCAACCTGCAGCCCCCGACCACAGGTTGATTTTCTGGTGGTGTGAACAGGCAGGAAACATTGGATGTGCACACCTCCAGGCTCCTCTCTGGGAACCACTCCTGCCCTTGGCCTTGAATGAGTTGTGGTGTAAGGCACAGCTCTGCTGAGGAAAGACGCAGAAAAAGGGTAGATAGGAAAGACACAGCAGAATGGGTACCATTGGCAACTTTGTGCCCTGGAGAGGGTCATTACCTCTTTGCCCTTGGGTGGTGAGAAAATATTTACTCTCCACAGGATAGGCCAGGATGTAGATTAGGGACCTCAATGCAGAGTCAAAGACCTTCTGGCTTGGTTTCAGCTTCCTGCCCAGAGTAAGTTGACTTCCACCAGCCCTAGGCCTGGATAGCTACAGTCTTCTCTCTGAGACTCTTCCAGCTCAATTACTCTGATGTGCCGGGGCTGTTGTTTCAAGCAGTGCCCAAGAACAGCAGTCAAAACTAGTGAGATCACTTTTGAACCTAAGCTGCCCAAAAGAGACAACTCACAGATGCTGCTGAGTGCAGAAGCATGTCCCACAGTAACAACCACATCCTGGGTGAGGTAGAGGGATCTACTCTCACACTGGGCCTTTCAGGATCAGAACTGAGTCCTGGCACTGATGAAGTCTTAGAGGGTCTGTTCCCAAAGTAAACTACTCTATACTTGGGAAACCTCCGGTACCAGAGAGTTTGGGAGCTCATTGTGGTACTGGATCTGCCTTGACCCATGGGGGTGTTGGGTTCACATGTAATCAGTACTGGAGTGTGTGGTTTACTGTGACCTGGCCAAGACTAACTTGTGAATGACCTGCCTGTCTGTGCAACAGCTGGATGAAGCCAGGCACTGCACCAGGTGATCATGGTGTTGCATGGGGACCTTGTCCCTGTCTGTGCCCATTGGCAGCTGGCCATGTTCTTTCTGGGGGGCTGTTCCTGAAGCTATTCACCCAATCCCCTTCCTGCTGTTCTTTCA